TTACGCTAATTGATCTGTCTGCCACCCTGTACCAAAATCATCACGAAGCTTCTGAACGGTGTTGTTGTAGAATGCACACAATAAATGTAGTCCTACTCGAATACTACGGGTTTTTCCCATTCTAATGATACTAATCCCGATGTATATGTAGGTAAGATTTGCTCTCAAGACACCCGGCATCGTCATCAACACAAGCTGTAGTTTCTCTATTTTCAAGCCGTAAACCCACATCGCACAGCCAGTGCAGCTGAACAACACTGACTACGGATTCACAATACAAGACGCTGACCAGCCAATAGCCTCTGCCCTGCTGATTTGAAAAACGCGTTCAGATTCTTCAATACCTCAATATTACGCGAACAATTGAAAGCAACACAAACCGCGTCAGTTCGCGACTTGTGGCTAGTTTATACTTTGTAGCTCACAGTGGCTCGCGCTACTTTGTGATCCATACAAATTAGACTGCCAGTGGCTCGCGCTACTTTGTGATCTATACAAATTAGACTGGTTAAGAAGTACCTGAAACATCTACAAGACACGGGTATGTTGAGCCAGCTATCCCTCGTTAGGCGCGCTTTCGCGCCGACTTAACCACCAGTTATTGGCCTTCCTTCCATTTTGTTTGCAATGTTCGGCATCGACGAACAGATCTTTTGACTATGACCTCGCCTGAATCTTGCATCGAAGTTTCCGACAGCGGCTTCGGATCGGCACCCGAACTGACGCCCTGCCTGACGCCGTGTCCTACCAGGTCTTTGACCCCTGTCTCCAGGCGGACAACCCCTGCCCCGGGCGACGAACACTACGAGCGCACGCTGTGGAGGCATTTCCCTGGCTGGGCTTTCTCTGAGCGAGCCAGAGAGACGCGGTGCTGGGCCTGGCAATTTGGGTATGACATCCAAAAGGGAGACGAGCGCAGATGGATCTGCCGAGCGTGCATTCGCAAGAATGCTCCAAACCCTCGCCATTTCGAAGCTGATGGCATTCACAATGCGTACAATCATCTTTTCAACGACCACGGTGTTCCCGCTCCTCCTGGATTGACCAAAGGAAGTGCTGAAAAGAAGGTGTGTTCCAAGGGCACAAGGGCTACGGGGCAGCGGACCCTGGCGGAATCCATGAAGCTTGATCTACAAAACGCACGAGAACAAGCAATTGCGAATGACTTCATCCAACGTTTCGACAAGGAGCACTTCCGGAGGCTTCTGATTGACTGGATCGTGGCCAAGAACCATTCCTTTTCTATTTCTGAAGAGGCTGAACTCCAAGCTATCTTCCACTACTTAAATCCGTCAGTTTCGGCACGTAAAGCCAATATTACCCACACAACGGTTCGAGAAAAGATCGTCGCCGCGTTTGAACAACACAAACAGACGGTGATAGACGTCTTACGCAAGGCGCCTGGTCTTATCCACATGTCCTTCGACGGCTGGCGGTCCGGAAACCGACATGCCTTATATGGTATATGTTGCTTCTACAGGGACGAAAACAACAAGCCTTGTAAGCTTACGCTAGGGCTTCCCGAAATCAGCGCTAAGCACACAGGGCCAAACATTGCCGCCGAAATCCTCGACGTAATTGAATCGTACCAGATCCAACACAAGATTGGCTATTTCACGCTCGATAACGCGAAAAACAATGACACCGCTATGGAGATTATTGGTGCAGAGCTCGGCTTTGTGGGGTCCCGCAGGCGAGGGCGCTGTTTTGGGCATACCTTGAACCTCTCCGCCAAAGCCATTCTATTTGGCCACGATGCTGATGCTTTTGAGCGGCGGATATCAGGGGCGGAACCTCTTACTGAAGCAGAACACTTGAT